TTAGATTCCACATATGAGTGAATTCATGTGGTACTTGTCTTTTCTGACTGGCTTATGTCACTTAGCATGATACTCTTCAGTCCCTCCATGCTGTTTCAAAGGGTAAGAGATCCTTCTTTTTTACTGCTGCATAGTATTCCATGGTGTAAATGTACCACAGCTTTTTATCTACTTATCTACACAAAGCAAGCTCGCCCTTTCAAGGGAAACAACGGATGGTATTCGTTGCTAATGACAATAATTTGGGCTTTTGAGTGAAAAAGAGAATTCTAGAATATTTGTATCTGCCATGGTGAGTTTAATAACTTCCCAATGTTTAAAGATTTTTCAGATGTGATTGGGGGTGACTTTTACAAATGCTGGTGTATTCTTTCTATTGGATAATGAAAATGTGTCAACCTTTGGATGATCATGATAAGTCAATGAACCAATGTTTTCCTAAATGGTCAATACGTGATGTTACAAAAGCATGCATGAGTAAAGGAGCCATTCAAAGTCCCTTTTACCATTTAAAGTAACATATTCACAGGTTCTAGGGAATAAGATATGGCCATCTTTGGGGCCATTATTCTGCCTACCACAAATATGAAAAGGTTCTATTTGTCTCACTAAATTATCTACACTAATAAAAGACAAACATGCAAATTGACTGTACCTTCGCTACGCCTTAAGCCACACCCACCAGCCAATCAGAGTGACTGTATGCAAATTAACCCAACCAAGATGGCGGCCGGCAGCCACGAAGCTGAAGCGAGCAGGAGGCTTGGTTGCTCCAGTGATGGGGGAAGCCAAGCTTCCCGGCCGGCTCTGAGCTCCACTGAAGGCAACAAAGTTTCAATTATAGAAGGTAACTAAAATCCCCAGAATAAAAAAAAGAAAAAGAAAAAAAGGAGAGGCTGGGAGCTCCCGTCGCCTGGAGGCTTGGCCAAGCCTGAAAACAGCCCTCAGCCCCTCACCCAGACTGGCCAGGCACCCCAGTGGGATCCCCCACCCTAAAGGGGGTGTGACCAGCTGCAAACATCCATCAGCCCCTCACCCAGGCTGGCAGGCACCCAAGCAGGACCCCCACCCTGATCTGAGACACCCTTCAGGGCAAACCAGCTGGCCCCCATCCGTGCACCAGGCCTCTATCCTATATAGTAAAAGGGTAATATGCAAACTGACCCTAACAGCAGAAAGACTGGGAATGACTGGTTACTATGACACACACTGACCACCAGGGGGCAGACGCTTAATGCAGGAGCTGCCCTCTGGTGGTCAGTGAGCTCCCACATGGGGGAGCTCTGCTCAGCCACAAGCCAGGCTGATGGCTGCCAGTACAGCAGTGGTGGTGGGAGCCTCTCCTGCCTCCTCAGCAGCGCTAAGGATGTCTGACTGCAGCTTAGGTCTGCTCCCTGCTGGCAAGTGGACATCCCCTGAGGGCTGCCGGGCTGCCAGAGGGATGTGATTGCCATCTTAGGCCAAATCTCCCGGGGAGCAGGCCTAAGCCAGCAGGTGGTCATCTCCCGAGGGGTCCCAGACTGCGAGAGGGCACAGGCTGGGCTGAGGGACCCCCCCACCCCGAGTGCACAAATTTTTGTGCACTGGGCCTCTAGTTTTTTATAAAATGTAGGTCTTCTTGCCCTAGGGCCTAGCCGGTTTGGCTCAGCAGATAGACTGTCAGCCTGTGGACTGAACTGTCCCGGGTTCGATTCCGGTCAAGGGCAGAAAAAATCAACAACAAAACAACAACAAATTGTAGTTCTTCTTCATAAAATGTTATGTTAGCAAGTCATTGGTTGTGAATACTTTTGAATAAATTAATATTTTAAATTTCGTAATTTAATTTCTAATATGGTAAATGTTCATAGATATAATCCACATAAACAAAAGCTCCTTCCGTTTAAGTCTTCAGTTTTAAGAGTGTAAAGGAGTAGTGAAACCAAAAAGCTTGAGAATTGCTGGCTTCAATTATTGCAATGGTAAGAGCAGACATCACAAAAACTCCTTAAAATCATGTCAAACACCCTCAAGGCCGCCTTAGCTGTCACATAGAGAAAATGCTGTAACGGTGATGCCATTAGGTGAACTGACCAGCATCCTTCAGGCAATTGCTGGCCGTTCCTAGACGTACGGCAAAGTCCTGGCAAGGGCAGGGCTGTTTCCGGGTGTCCTTCAAGCACCCCTTTGCCCATAGAGTCACACAGGACCGGGAGTACCCGCTGCTCTGTCACCAGTGCCCATGGCTGGGTTTCGTGCCTGGTAGACTGGCTTTGTCCTGAAACCCTACTGTGAGACATTTCGGACACAGAATGTCATGGAATGTGGCTCTGCTTGGCCCAGACGGGAGACACAGAAACCGCGCCAGACGCACCCCATGGTGCGCCGTGGAAAAGGCCGGATGTTATTAATGCTCATCTAAGCTCCTATTCATCTCCTGTTCATGACAAGCAACGCTTCCAACTTCAAAAACGTCTCCCAAATTCTCATTTAAGAAAATCACCAAAAGAAACACTAGAAAAAAGGACAGACAAAAATGAAAATGTTCGTGGGTAATTTTTCTTTCCTTCAAATAAAGAAAAATTACCCACTAACATTTTCATTTTTCTGCATGTCTGTATGTTCTACACAGCATGCAAACTGCATAAGAAAAAATAACTAGTTATTTATAAAGTACCCACCACCAAAAACATAAATGCAGTAAATACACCTTTTTTAGGAAAGTTTAAAAAGAAAAATATTGCATGAAGATTGTAAGACTGTTAGTCAAATGCATGGATCAGATCAGGCTGTCATTTCAATGCCAAGCAAACCAAAGCCCCCCTCAAATGCTGGAGAGAGGCCAAGCAAGGAAGACAGCTAGCATGTGTCGAGCTGTGCTCCTGTCGCTTTCACCCTTATTTCTCCTTGAATCCTCTCCAGGATCCTCCGAGGAATATCACTGTCCCTTCAAAGATGAGGAACCCAGGCCCAGCGAGGCGAACTCATTGCCCCGAGTCATGCAGCAAACAAGGGGGAGCGATGGATTGCAAACCCGGGCGCATCTGGTTCTCAGTCGTGTGGTTCCCACTGCCCCACACTGTCCACCCCGCAGTGTTCGGTCTCTAAAATGTGTTAAAAGAAAACACAGCCCTAACCGGTTTGGCTCAGTGGATAGAGCGGCTGCCTGCGGACTGAAGGGTCCCAGGTTCGATTCCGGTCAAGGGCATGTACCTTGGTTGCAGGCACATCCCCAGTAGGGAGTGTGCAGGAGGCAGCTGGTCGATGTTTCTCTCTCATCGATGTTTCTAACTCTCTATCCCTCTCCCTTCCTCTCTGTAAAAAATCAATAAAATATATTTAAAAAGAAAACACAATCCCCCCAGACACCAAAACCTGAAGCAGAGGCCATCCCCTCCCAACCCGAGGTCAGGGCCAGCCAGGCGCTTACTCAGCCCTCGCAGACCAGCACGTGAACAGCAGCTGAGCGTGACGACCTCAAAGGGGAACCACGAGGGGAATGAGCTCGTCAACAATCCCGCAGCCACAGCCCGGCTCCTGCCACTCGGATGGACCGTGTAAGAGGCGGTGCTGCCTCGGGTCACGCGCAGACCCACGCTCCCTCTGCCCCGCATGGCCCTGCACCTTGGGAAACACTCTGTCTGCGGGGACCTCCATTGCCACGTGTGCACCCACCATTGAAATGAGACCCATAGAACGTAAAGCACATGTAATTGAGACCCAACACAGGTCCATTCACTATGCCTTCCGTTCTGGCTTTAAAAAAGCATCCGGAAAAGGTAGGACCGGGGACCTGAAACGCACTGCCGCCCACGGCGCCGCCAGGGCGCGTTAGAATGCAGGCCCGGCTCCGCGCCCCGTCCAGTGTCAGGGTTACCCCGACCTTCCCGCGGCGGCGGCAGGCAGGCCAGACCCCTGCGCGGCACAGCTCGGGCTGGGCGGGCTCGGGCTTGGAACGTGGCGTCACGACGGGCGGAGTCTGGCCTTGACCAGGGCGGGAGCTTACAGGCGGGC